CACCAAAAGAAAGCTCTATTTGTGTGAAAAAAAATTCTAAAATGTTCATATGGGTACAGTGTTGCATGACCACGCAACTGTCATTCAAAGTGCGACAGCTCTGAAAGCTGAAAATTGGCCTGGGCAGGAAGGGGGTATAAGTGCCTGGGATTGAAATGGTTGAGGGTCAGTAAATCACTAAAACGTTTTTTCACTGCTAAGTTTTTTATCCCTGCTGGTATACTATTATTATTTCAAGCATGATACTGTAAGGTACAGCAATAAAAGCTGCCAAATTTTCATGTACCAAAGTTTACGGTGTTGAAAACTTGTTCGGAAACAAGCTAATTTCCAGATTCCCACCAAACGTTTATTGGGGTGAGCCAGAAGAGGTGTTATTTCACTTTCAGGAGGAGAGGTGTTATTTCACTTCTAAGGATGGAAGCATCTGTTGTGTTCTTCACCTCTTTATACCTTTAGTGTTGTCTCGCATCTCTTCCCTCCCGGTAGCCAGACAAGGATCGCTGTACAAAGTAGTCAGATGTTTGTGTCTACGGCTGCCATTGCTTGGCATGTGTTTTCATGGCGAAGGCAGCTGCCAGGTGAGTGTTGTGAATGGTACTCTCGGTGTGAAAACAATCTGTATACACACTGATTATCATCCCCTACTGCTGGCGGATCTTCTCGGCGGCAGAGGCGCAAAATGACAGGAGATGCAGCTTCTGGGGACATGCTGCCACTTAACCACACACTGCCACTGTGGAGTGTAATGATACCTTTACAAGATACTCTTCATTACCTAAAGCCTGTAGTTACTGGCTGTGTATGCCTTCTCCTGACTCTTAAAGGGAAAGTATCATATTTTTCAGAACAGTACGCAGTTATTATTGTAAAGTTCAGGTGAAACGTGAAAGCAATGTTTTGTGTGATTTTCTACTTGCATTGCTTTATTATTGTTATTTTTGTTGCTATCTGTTGCGGTATGTTCATGGTACAGATATGTCAAGGCGCCCCTGTTGGCTGTATGACATAGCATGTAATTAGTATCCCTACTTCACAACTGCGAGAAAATGAATGACAGGATAAGCCATTTGGAAAGGACATTGTTCTGTTTTGAGAGTATGGGTGAGCTCTAAACAGGGCTTTTGTCCAGTGGGAATGGAGGCCGTGAATGTATGTAATGGCAAGGAGTGCTGGAGTGTGCTTGAGGATCTACTGATGCTGGCTGCTTGGGGATCTATTGTCACAGGGGAGGGCTATTGTTACTGGGGGATCTATTGTTGCTCAGGGGTGCCTTATGTTGCTGGGAAGGATCTACTGTTAAGGGATGGGTCTATTGTTGCTGGTGGTATCTATTATTATTATTTTATTATACAGGATTTATATAGAGCCAACAGTTTGCTCAGAGCTGTACATTATAAAGGGAGACAGTACATGAGACAGTACAGTGACAATACACGAGGGGTCTGAGGGCCCTGCTCCTTGGAGCTTACAATCTAGGAGGGAGGGGATAGTGGTACAGGAGGAAATAGCTGTGGGGGATGGAGTGATGGGAAGAGTAGAGGGGTTCAGTAATTAACTGAGGGTGGGGTAGGCTTCCCTGAAGAGATAGGTTTTCAGAGTGCGCCTAAAGGTGAGGAGAGTAGGTGACAGTCTGATGGATTGGGGTAGGGAGTTCCAGAGAATGGGGGAAGCCCTGGAGAAGTCCTGGAGATGGGCATGGGAGGAGACCAGGGAACTAGAGAGTAGGAGGTCTTGTGAGGAGCGAAGAGTACGTTTTGGGTGGTATTTGGATACCAGATCGGTGAAGTAGTTTAGGGCAGTATTATGAACAGCTTTATAAGTCAATGTTAGCATTTTTATCCATTGGGCAATCGGAAGCCAGTGGAGGGATTGGCAGAGGGGGGGGCGGATACAGAGTGGTTAGTAAGGTGGATGAGTCTGGCCGCAGCATTCAAGATAGACTGGAGCGGGGATAGCCTGCGGTGGGGTAAGCCGATGAGAAGGGAGTTACAGTAGTCAAGGCGTGATATAATGAGGGAGTGAATGAGTTGCTTAGTGGTTTCCGGGGTTAGGAACAGACGTATTTTGGAGATGTTGCGGAGGAGAAGTCTGCATGAGTTTGTCAGCGAATGGACTTGGGGCTGCACGGACAGATTGGAGTCTAGGATGACACCTAGTACTCTGGCTTGAGGAGAGGGACTGATGGTGGTGTTGTTGATCTTGATGGAGAAGTCTGGGGGGGGGGGGCGCGGGCTGGGGGGAAGACTAGGAGCTCAGTTTTGGACAGATTTAGTTTGAGGAAGTGGAGTGACATCCAGTTCGATATGTCGCTCAGTAGGCTTGTGATACAAGCAGAGACCGAAGAGGTGAGGGGTAGAGAGATAGATTTGTGTGTCATCGGCATAGAGATGGTAGTTGAAGCCGTGAGAGTGTATCAATTGGCCAAGGGAGGAGGTGTAGATGGAGAAGAGAAGGGGCCTGAGGACAGAACCTTGAGGGACCCCAACAGAGAGGGGGAGTTGGCAGCATTATAGGTAACACTGAAGGAGCGCTGTGTTAGATAGGAAGAGAGCCAGGAGAGAGCGGAGTCTCTGAGGCCAAGAAAGTGTAGTTGTTTGAGGAGGAGGGGGGGTCAACCATGTCGAAAGCTACAGAGAGGTCGAGGAGTAGGAGCAATCTATTGTCATGGGGGGAGGACTATTGTCACTAGGGGTGTCTTATGTTGCTGGGAGGGGACAATTGTTGCTGGGAAGAATCTACTGTTGAGGGATTGGGTCTATTGTTGCTGGTTGCTGGGGGGTTTATTGATGCTGACTGCTGGGAGATATATTATTACTTATGGGGGTCTCTTGTTTCTGGGGGGTTATTTTGTTGCAGGGTGTCTATTGTTGCTTATGGTATCTATTGTTGTTGGGGGATCTATTGTTGCTGGGGGATGGAGGAGGTCAAATGTTGCTGGGGAAGGATCTACTGTTAAGGAATGGGTCTATTGTTGCTGGTGGTATCTATTGTTGTTGGGGGATGTGTTGTCATGAGGGGAGGACTATTGTTGCTAGGGGGTGTCTTATGTTGCTGGGAGGGGTCAATTGTTGCTTAGAATGATCTACTGTTGAGGGATTGGGTCTATTGTTGCTGGTTGCTGGAGGGTCTATTGAAGCTGACTGCTAGGAGATATATTGTTATTGGTGGGGTTCTCTTGTTTCTGGGGGGTTATTTAGTTGCGGGGTGTCTATTGTTGCTGGTGGCATCTATTGTTGTTGGGGGGATCTATTGTCATGGGGGGAGAGCTATTGTTGGGGATCTATTATTGCTAGGAGGTGTTTTATGTTGCTGGGAAAGATCTACTGTTAAGGGATGGGTCTAATGCTACTGGTTGCTGGGGTGTCTATTGAGGCTGACTGCTGGGAGATGTATTGTTGCTGGTGGGGGGGTCTATTGTTGTTGGGGTGGTATTTAGTTGCGGGGTGTCTATTGTTGCTGGTGGTATCTATTGTTGTTGGGGGATCTATTGTTGCTGGGGTATATATTGCTGTTAGGGGGACCTATTGTGGCTGGGGGGATCTGTTGCTGCTGAGGGGGGTAATTAGTTGTGGGGTGTCTACTGTTGCTGGTGGTATCTATCGTTGGGGGATCCACTGCTGCTGAGGGGATCTATTGCTGTTAGGGGGCCTATTGTTACTGGGGGTGTATTGTTGTGGGTAACAGGGGATCTATTTTACTGCCTTTCTTGTTATCATTACCAAATCCCATACACATTACTTAGCACCACAAAATGATACGTGATTCTGTATTCCCTAAAAGTGGTGGTACTGGGAGGTGGGAAGGGGGTGGAAACAAGGAACGGAACGCAGAGCTGGGTAGGGGGTGAAGATAAGGAATGACTCAGAAGTTGGTAGTACCTACACCTATTGTCTGAGGAAAGAAAAACCCTGGTTCTAACAATTGCTTTATGGTAAGCAGTGCAGTAATGCATAAACAATTGACTTCTAAGTCAAGTACCCGTAGGCATGAGGAGATAAATCTGGGATCTCTCCTTGCCCTCAACCCACAAAGTCTCACATCTTATGTTGCAGCAATGGGAGTCTCATTCCTGCCACAGACTCCATAATGTAAAAATTGTTTAAAGAATGTAGTTGAAACATCCCAAACCCAAAGCACAGTGCCAAATCTGCTCCCTTCACCTGTCCATGGATTAACAGGATGCTGGCTCAAAGGAGCCCGTCCTAGTGGGCCTTTATAGGGAATACATGAACAAGAGCCAGACTTCGATCTCCACTCTTTTAAGTACTTTTATTCAACCACCAACAGTGTAGCTGCTATTAAAGTGTCTCCATCCAAAAGAAACCAGCACCTCTTTGACGCGTTTCACCACAAATGGCTTGATCACAAAAACAGATCCTATCCTTGTAATAAAGCCATTCATGATAAATCACGTTAAGGATGCGGTGGTTTCTTTTGGGTGGAGATACTATGATTGCAGCTACACTGGTAATGCTCTAATACAATGATATGGAAAAATGGACTTTAGAGTGTGCCCCTTATTCATCTTTTGGTAAAAGATGCCAAGTTGCATTGCCAATTATAGGAAGGCAGAGCTGGGAACTCTGGCATCAATGGCATCAACTGGCATCAATCCAAAATTGAAATGTAACATATGGGTGAACTACCAGTGCAGTGCAAGTTATGTTGGTCCGCAACAGGCACATATACCCCTCACGTCCTCGAGGGTTGGGAACATACCTAAGCATGTATACCTATGTAGGAAACTCCTTTAACCCATTCACAAAGTGTGTCAAAGTTTATATTTATTGTCCTTTGACAGGATTGGAGGTGTGCAATTTGCTAATACAAACGTTTCTCACTTCCAATCATGTTCTTTGACAACCAGCATTTGCCTTGACATATTTCATGGCACTGTGGTGGTAGGGTCAGCATGCTCCCTGTTAGCACAGAAGCACTGGAAAAATATATTTAATGATGTGGTAAAGAATAAAGAGCTGCAATAATGTATGGCTCAGGGGCAGACTGACAACTCATGGGGCCCCCGGGCAATAGGGGATCATGGGGCCCCTGTGTCCTTGCCCAAACTCAAAAATTCCTATGAAAAGGTACCAGGGGCATCTCATGGGGCCCCCTACTGACCCCGGGCCCTTGGGCAGTGCCCGAGTTTCCAAATGGTCAGACCGCCCCTGGTATGGCTTTTTTATTGGTCTGGAGTTCAGTTTTAAGATTTGTACTTACTTCACTACAGTTCCCCTTTAAGTACATATTTTTTCTAACCTTTTTTTGTGCCACTTAGTGAATGCAGTAATTAAATAATACTGTGGCATTAGTCAATGTGCACTTTAAACAGTGTCCTAATCCTTCCTTTTACTTGTAATGATTTAGTGATTTAATCTTGCTTCCTCCGGAGACAGGTCAATAACATATTGCTAGCTTTCTGTTTTGCCATAAAACACTTTGTAAAAATTGCAAAGAACAAAAAGTGCCAGTACTAAATTCTAAAAGAATGACATATCTGGTCTTATTTTTCCTTTAAAGGGAAACTTGTTACTTTATGTTTTATGTTTTTGCCATTATATTGTAAAAGGGTAGACCTTTGACACTTTTGGGATTGGTTCCACCAGAAGTCCCTAAACAATAGGCATCTTTAGAAAGAAAACCCTTCACATTGCATCTATTGTTTTTATAGATATATATAGATTTGTCTACAACCCAGGTAATCTGGCTTCCACATCTTGTCGCTGAATGACTAAATTATTGGAATAGAAGTACATAACCATTGGCATTCTCTTCCATGTTGGGTGGCACGCCATCATGAAACTCAATTCTGAACTGGTGAATGCTTGTTTTGTGTGTACCCCCATTTGTTTCTTTCTTTCTTTGTTTTCATGAGTCTTTTCTCTAAAATATATTAGCAGGAAAATTAGCATCTGATTAAAATTGGCCCTAGTCCATTTTATCTAACATAATTATGGTGTCCTACACCTGTGCTGAAAACCAGGAAGGACCTAAAAGAGAAGTATGGCTTTTTATTTTTTTCCCCATTATACATGCCTAGGTGTATGCAGCATTGTTCTGATGTTGCACAGGCCTGGATCTAGGGAGGTGCTGGGGTGGGCTATGCCCCCCCGCCCCAGATTTTAGTTGTGCACCCCCACACCTCTGAGAGTGAATTCACAAATCCATGAGACCTGATGGGGACAGTTGATGTAAGTGGGCACTCTGATGGGGACAGTTGATGTAAGGGGACACTCTGATGGGGACAGATGATGTAAGTGGACACTCTGATGGGGATAGTTGATGTAAGAGGCACTCTGATGGGGACAGTTGATGTAAGTGGACATTCTGATGGGGATAGTTGATGTTAGTGGACACTCTGATGGGGACAGTTGATGTTAGTGGACACTCTGATGGGGATAGTTGATGTAAGAGGCACTCTGATGGGGACAGTTGATGTAAGTGGACACTCTGATGGGGATAGTTGATGTAAGTGGATACTCTGATGGGGATAGTTGATGTAAGGGGCACTCTGATGGGGACAGTTGATGTAAGGGGGCACTCTGATAGGGACAGTTGATGTAAGGGACATTCTGATAGAGACAGTTGATGTAAGGGGCACTCTGATGGGGTCAGTTGATGTAAATGGACACTCTGATGGGGACAGTTGATATAAGGGACACTCTGATGGGGACACCTGATGTAAGGGGACACTCTGATGGGGACAGTTGATGTAAGGGGACACTCTGATGGGGACACCTAATGTAAGGGGACACTCTGATGGGGACAGTTGATGTAAGGGGACACTCTGATGGGGACAGTTGATGTAAGTGGACACTCTGATGGGGACAGTTGATGTAAGTGGACACTCTGATGGGGATAGTTGATGTAAGGGGCACTCTGATGGGGACAGTTGATGTAAGGGGGCACTCTGATGGGGACAATTGATGTAAGTGGATACTCTGATGGGCATAGTTGATGTTAGTGGACACTCTGATGGGGACAGTTGATGTTAGTGGACACTCTGATGGGGATAGTTGATGTTAGTGGACACTCTGATGGGGACAGTTGATGTTAGTGGACACTCTGATGGGGATAGTTGATGTAAGAGGCACTCTGATGGGGACAGTTGATGTAAGTGGACACTCTGATGGGGATAGTTGATGTAAGTGGATACTCTGATGGGGATAGTTGATGTAAGGGGCACTCTGATGGGGACAGTTGATGTAACGGGGCACTCTGATGGGGACAGTTGATGTAAGGGGGCACTCTGATAGGGACAGTTGATGTAAGGGACACTCTGATAGAGACAGTTGATGTAAGGGGCACTCTGATGGGGTCAGTTGATGTAAATGGACACTCTGATGGGGACAGTTGATGTAAGGGACACTCTGATGGGGACACCTGATGTAAGGGGACACTTTGATGGGGATAGCTGACGTAAGGGGACACTCTGATGGGGACAGTTGATGTAAGTGGACACTCTGATGGGGACAGTTGATGAAAGTGGACACTCTGATGGGGATAGTTGATGTAAGGGACACTCTGATAGAGACAGTTGATCTAAGGGGCACTCTGATGGGGTCAGTTGATGTAAATGGACACTCTGATGGGGGACAGTTGATGTAAGGGGACACTCTGATGGGGACAGTTGATGTAAGGGGGCACTCTGATGGGGACAGTTGATGTAAGGGACACTCTGATGAGGACAGTTGATATAAGGGGCACTCTGGTGAGGACACTTGATGTAAGGAGGTACTGTTATAGGAACTTTGATGTAAGGAGGATCTCTGAGAAGAACTGATATAAGGAGGGACTCTGTTAAGGACACCTGATATAAGGGGGCACAGGTTCTGTTTAATCACCCTAAACTAATGACAGCATTCCCAGTTCACTCCTGCACCACCTCTGCACTAACTGTGAGATGTTACTTCCAGGTTATGACTCCGTGGTGCAAAAGTGTGCTGAGTGAACAGGGAATACTGGTTCCATACATCTCTGTCACACTACTGATATTATGCCCCCTGACTTTTTTTTAGTGCACCCCCAGATCATACAGGCTAGATCCGACCCTGATGCTGCATCTGTCCACCACCAGCTCTAAGGGTGAGAACTTAGAGTATCACTGAGCGGCTGAGGCAGGTACCTCTCCAGACTCTGAAGTCGAGATCTTTCCCCAACCTGGACCGGCTGAGTGACGTCAGCCGAAGTCAACACTCCTGTGATCCACAGAAGTACAGGCAAAAGAGCTTTGGCTGTACTTCTCCTTTAATGCTAAACTAGCAGCCCATCCATGACAGCTGTTCCAGACAAAGTACAATGACTGCTTGGTATTCTATGGAAGGACCTACAGTAAGTTCTAAGGATGTGTGGTACAAACTGTACAACTGGGCTTGTACAGTGCAAGTTACCATCAAACAGTCTGTTGTGATTTCCAAGACAATCACATGCTGTGAAAATTAAATGGAATTTGTAGTACTGTCAAAATATATTTAAATATATACTGCTTACCGCAAGTTATCGTATCAATGCGTGTTTGTATAGCCTTTGTTTCTATGTATACCACTTTATTAGGGACACCTTACTAGTACTGGGTTGGACCCCCTTTTGCCTTCAGAACTGCCTTAATTCTAGATGGCATAGGTTCAACAAGGTGTTGGAAACATTCCTCAGAGATTTTGGTCCATATTGACATGATAACATCACACAGTTGCTGCAGATTTGTCACCTGCACATCCATGATGCAAATATCCCGTTCCACCACATCCCAAAGGTGCTCTGTTGGATTGAGATCTGGTGACTGTGGAGGCCATTGGAGTACAGTGACCTCATTGTCATGTTCAATCAACCAGGTTGAGATGATTTGAGCTTTGTGGGATGAATATGGTCAAGAACAATACTCAGGTGGGCCGTGGCGTTTAACCACTTGCCTACCGGGCACTTTTACCCCCTTCGTGCCCAGGCCAATTTTCAGCTTTCAGTGTTGTTGCACTTTTAATGACAATTGCGTTGTCATGCAACATTGTACCCATATGACATTTTTATCATTTTTTCCACACACACAGAGCTTTCTTTGGTGGTATTTAATTGCCACTGGGTGTTTTATCGTTTGCACTATAAACAAAAAATGAGGGAAAAAAAAGTGATGTGCATTGATGAGGCTGCACTGATAGGCAGCACTGATGAGGTGGCACGGATAGGCAGCACTGATGGGCACTGATGAGGTGGCACGGATAGGCAGCACTGATGGGCACTGATAGGCTGCACTAAGGAGATGGCACTGATGGGCATTGATGAGGAGGCACTGATGCTGCTGCACTGATATGCAGCAATAATGGGCACTGATAGGTGGCACTGATGGGCAACACTGATGCTCAGTGTCATATGACGCCTTCCCAGAACTGGACAACCATGCTTTAGTCATCATTCGGCTATATCGCGGTTGGCAAGTGGTTAAACGATGCTCAATTGGTACCAAGGGGCTAAAACTGTGGCAAGAACATATCCCCATCACCATTACACTACCACCACCAGCCTGAATCATTGAAACAAGACAGAATGGATCCATGCTTTCATGTTGTTTATGCCAAATTCTGAATCTAATATCTGAATGTCGCAGCTGAAATCGAGACTCATCAGAGCAGGCAACATTTTTGCAATCCTCTATTGTCCAAATTGCGTTAGCCTGTGCGAAATGTAGTCTCTATTTCCTTTTCTTAGTTGACAGGTGTGGTCTTCTGCTGCTGTAGCCCATCTGCTTCAAGGTTTGATGTGTTGTGCGTTCAGAGATGGTATTCTGCATACCTTGGTTGTAACAATTGCTTGCATGAGTTACTGTTGCCTTTCTGTCATCTCGAACCAGGCTGCCCATTCTGCTCTGATATCAACAAGGCATTTTCATCCACACTGCCGCTCACTGGATAAATTCTCTTTTTCAGACCATACTCTGTAAACCCTAGAGATAGTTGTGCATGAAAATCCCAGTAGATCAGCAGTTTTTGAAATACTCAAACCAGCTCGTCTGGCACCAACAACTATGCCACATTCAAAGTCATTTAAATCCCCTTTCTTCCCCATTCTAATGCTCAGTTTGATCTTTACAAGTTGTCTTCACCCCATCTAGATGCCTATATGCATTGAGTTGCTGCCATGTGATTGGCTGATTAGCAATTTGTGTTACCAAGCAATTGAACAGGTGTACCTAATAAAGAGGCTGGTGAGTGTATGTATTGCCCTCCCAGTTAAGCTGTTGGGTAGTTATTGGCTTCACAAAAGTGAATGAAATGGTTGTTCCCAGTTAGGTTGTTAGGTACATTTAGTTATTGAATCCACTGTTGAGAGTGGAGTAGAGTTCATCCATGATTTAGCTGGGGGGGGGGGGGCAATTACTTTTTCACATAGAGCCAGGCAGGTTTGGACAGCTTTTCCTCTTATTAAATGGATACGTAGTTTAAAAACTGCATTTTGTATTTACTTGGGGTATCTTTGTGCAATATTAAAATCTGATTGATGATCTGTATCATTTATGTGTGACAGGTATGCAAGAAAAAAAATGAGGAAGGGGGCAAATATGGCAGCAGCTCATGCTCTTGGACGGGCTGCTATGTCACAGAAAGGGATGTAGAGGAGCTGCAGAAATGAGGACATTGCTAAAGTTCCCAACTTGAAAAAAAAAAAAAGTTTACTAACAAAAAAAATTCCTTCTTCACAGCATATCATTTCCTCTATTTTGGTTAGATAGTTACTTTAAGAAAAGGAGCAGGGAGACATAGAAGTCTCCCTCTAGTGCAGGGTGTCTCAATTAAGATTCCATGGAACCCTGGGGTTCCTCCAGAGGTGCTAGGGGTTTCTTGAGCAATGAGCAATTTCTGCCTCTAAGATAAGTTCCCACTAATACCATTTAACTTTTTAGCTATCTTTAAGTGGGTCACTCTTCCCAATGACCACGGCTGTAAGGACCATTCTTCCCACTGACCATCACACTATTGTATCATGAGTTGTAGATATAGTCTTTTTCAGCAGGGGTTCCCTGAGACCGGAAAGTTATTGCATAGGTTCTTCTTTGTTGAGAAAGGTTGACAAAGGCTGCTTTAGTGACTAATCTACAAAATTACTACGGCCAGTTCATAATACTGCCCCAAACTACATCACCGATCTGGTATCCAAATACCACCCAAAACGTACTCTCCGCTCCTCACAAGACCTCCTACTCTCTAGTTCCCTGGTCTCCTCCTCCCATGCTCATCTCCAGGATTTCTCCAGGGCTTCCCCCATCCTCTGGAACTCCCTACCCCAATCCATCAGACTATCACCTACTCTCCTCTCCTTTAGGTGCACTCTGAAAACCCATCTCTTCAGGGAAGCCTACCCCGCCCTCAGCTAATCTCCTCCACTCTTCCTACCACTCCATCCCCCACAGCTATTCCTCCCATACCACTATCCCCTCCTTCCTAGATTGTAAGCTCCAAGGAGCAGGGCCCTCGAACCCCTCGTGTATCGCATTGTATTGTTATTGTACTGTCTCGTGTATTGTCTCCATTGTAATGTACAGCGCTGAGCATACTGTTGGCGCTATATAAATACTGTATAATAATAATAATTTATGTACGTACCTTTTTTTTGTCCTGTTGTATATTACATTTTTTAAACTATTTTCAAACAGTGCAATAAAAAGCAAAACTATAGAAGAGAATGCATGTAAAAGTGTAGATTGTTAATCAATATTAAAAAAAAAACCCTTTACAGACGTCCTGTACTGGGAAGCTGTGCCCAAAAACAGGCAAGCAGAGGAAAAAGGGCCAGGCACCAATGTTGCTTCTGGTTTCCGTGCGTGGATATTTTCCCTGTTATCCACTTACCATCCCTCATACTGCAATGCACAAATGCTCTCATCTGGTTCTCAAGGCCGTGTGCTAAGGGAGAATAGGAATGTCCCTTTCATTTACGCTGCATGCTGTTAGACCTGTTTAAAGAAACTGGGTCATCATCTTCTGGTAAGCAATTATTTGATATGAAGGTGAGGGTGCACATGGGAATTGTTTTATCTGTGTGAGAAGATGAATCTCTGAAATAATTTTGGACTTTTTTAGACTTTGCTTTTAGCATTTATTTCAATGATCACATTATATACACCTAATCTGCCAATCACATGGCAGCAAGTCAATGCATTTAGGCATGTAGACATGGTGAAGGCAACTTGTTGACGTTAAAACCGAGCATCAGAATGGGAAAGAAAGGGGATTTAAGTGACTGGTTGTTTTTGTCAGACGGGCTGGTCGGAGTATTTCAAGAAATGCTGATCTACTGGGATTTTCACACACAACCATCTCTAGGGAAATTGAGACTCATCAGACCATGCAATCCAATCTTCTATTGTCCAATTTTGATGAGCCTGTGCAAATTGTAGCCTCCGATTCCTGTCCTTAGCTGACAGGAGTTGCACCCGGTGTGGTCTTCTGCTGCTGTAGCCCATCTGCCTCAAGGGTTGGCATGTTGTGCATTCAGAGATGGTATTCGGCATACCTTGGTTGTAACAAGTGGATATTTGAGTTACTGTTTCCTTTCTATTTTCTCAAGCCAGTCTGCCCATTCTCCTCTGACCTCTGACATCAACAAGGCATTTTCGTCCACACAACAGCCGCTCACTGGATATTTTCTCTTTTCGGCCCATTCTCTGTAAACCCTAGAGATGGTTGTGCGTGAAAATCCCAGTAAAGAAGCATTTTTTAAAATACCCAGACCAGCCCATCTGGCACCAACAATCATGCTGTGATTCCCCATTCTGATGCTCGGTTTGAACTTCAGCAAGTCGTCTTTACCACGTCTAGATGCCTAAATGCAGTGAGTTGCTGCCATGTGATTGGCTGATAAGCAATTTGTGTTACTAAGCAATTGACCAGGTGTACCTCATAAAGTGGACGGTAAGTGTACATTATATGTTTGATTAATTAGGGTGCACATATATGTATAATAATATTTTGGTTTTGGGTATAGGCATTTCTAAGAAAAAAAAAAATCCAGGAGATTTTGGGAAATTTTCACCATTTTGGCAAACTGCATTGGAGTCAGTAAGTCAAATTGAAAGCATTTTTTTTTGTTTACTTTAGGATAAAGTTAAAGGAAGTGTTATTATTTCTTTTGGTGCTTGTGTGCCCTAATGGGGAGGATAACCGTATCCATTGTCAATAGGTGAATGAAAGTGATGAGTGAGAAGAAATGAAAAATTTTGAGTTGTCTTATCTGTTAAAAAAAGTTGTCATTGGAACAAAACTAGAAAGGACATTTTTTGAAACAGCAAAAAAACAAAAATGATATACAATTGTAAAAATTAGTCGTCAAATTCTTGCATAAGTCCAACTGACAAGTTCTTTGTAAAGCAGAACTAAAGTCTCTCAGTCAATTATTTTTAATCCTTAGGCCGGCCATACATGGGTCCAAATTCGACCGATTTTTTGTCCGAAAATCGGACCTAAAAATAATCAGCCAATTTTCTCTGTTAGTGGGTCAATGGCACCGGCTGATTTTCGTGGTTCCTCCCCTTTTTGGTGATCGGGCATGTTGGAAAATTCGTGAAAAACAACTGATTTTCGACTCAATGATGGTCAAATAGTACGATCGCTTTTCCAAAAAGAATATGCGCATGAGCCGTGACCTGGAAGGAACAGAAGGTTTGCCTGTTATATGGGATGAACTTTATGACTTGGTTGGCCAGTTTTCGAAATCATTGATGGCACCAACGGATTACCGAGCAAACAACGTTTTCGATTTTCGGACGAAAAATTGTTCAGAATTCGAACCATGTATGGCCTGCATTAGGCTGCTAGTATTAGTAAATAGATAGGAAGTTATATTATTTTATGTTTATTACAGGTACTTATATAGCGCCGTCAATTTACGGGTCAGTCCCTAACCCTCAAGGGGCATACAATCTAAAGTCCTTAACCTCCCTAGCGGTCTGATTATGTCAGTATTTCTGTGCTCAAAGTGGTACATTTTTTTGCATGGAAATATGTATTTTTTTTTATTGTAGGCCTGTAATTTTTAGGAATAACTAACTGAAATCTGTCCAAACAAGAGTCTAGTAAACATCCCGGGTATGATAAAACTTTAAACACGAAATCATAAATTATAATTTAATAAATAATCATAAAAAATAATAATATAATAATAATAAATTTAATTTAATAATATAATCAAACCAAAAACACTGAAATTTGAAATATAGCGCCAAGTTCTCACATCACTGAGCAAAGTTGCAAAATAGTTTTCAGTGTCTGATGACGAATTTCCCCCACGAATCATTATCACTCAATTCTGCAAGTGATTCTAATTTACTATCGCTGTTCTGTAAACCGGTCCTAAAGGGACGCTTTTTGGACGCCATGCTTTTCTCAGAGAAAGAACAGTAAAAATGCAGGCAGGGCACAGGACAAAGCACTCGGGAAAAAAATATGTATAAGAAATGGTTTGATACAGTAATGTTATACTATGTGATTTTAGTGATTTTAGTGAATGTCACTTTTTGTCATTTTCAAATTTCCCGTTCCGCCCGACGCTCGCAGGGGACGGAACCCAGAAGACAGGATGCCGGCATCGGCCGGATTACATTGCCGGGGACACTGCAGGAGGGTCATCGCGGGAGCGCAGGACAAGGTAAGTGATCGAGGGATCCCTGGGGGAACGCTCCAGGGAGGTTAACATACATTCATACATACACATAACTAGGGCCAATATTATATTTATGAGGTTTTTTTTTTACATTTCTTCAGTTGCTTACTGCTTTTTGCAAAATGGTCATACATACCTGGGGTCTTCATGGGCATTTTTTATTTTCATCTGGAGGAGGGAGTTTCTCAACTAAGCACACCCTCCTACCTGCATGCCTGAGCTAAGGGCAGATGGATTCCAGGAAGTAAATGTTACATGAATCATATGCCCTTCAAGATGGCTATGGTTAGAAATGCTACGTGGGTGCTTTTCAGAATGATGTCTTCACAAAATAAAGCATGTAAACATGGATGGATGGTTGAACTTGCTTTAAATATAAAAAATGAATTAAAAAGTGTTTTCAGTTTGTGGCGCTCAGATACAATTAAGTTCTTCTTTAACAAAAATGTCCATCCAAAACAGCAGGTTACTGTATCAATTGAAAAGTAAACAAAAGAAAAAAGCAAAGGAAAGAAAAACTTTAAAAGATCCTTAGCACTAAAATAGTGCTAATAAATTCCGCTTATCGATAGAGAAAGTAAAGCAGCAGTAAAATCAAAGCAATATAAAAAAGATTTTAAAAATTCTAATCTTTTAACACGCTGAGCCAAATTTTGGATTCCAAGCTGTACACAAGCTGCACACAGTGATACTTTTGTCACTATTTAAACCAGACGCGTTCTGTTGTCACCTACCCCCAAGTGGCCAGGAATACTTTTTTCTATATTCTAGGAAGCCAGCCAAACATATTCAAACAATTATGTCCAATCTGTGGTTTTGCTTAGCCTGTCATTTTGTTTTTAGCATGTACTTGAAAATGAGGCGATAGAGAACAATCTGCAGATCTGACAGTAGTTCGCTTTGCAGCTAAAAAATAAATATATATATATTTATTTTTTTGTTTTTTTTTTTTTACTTTATTTTTTACAACATATATTGGATGAGCCTCTGGACAATAGATAGTAAGAACACAAGAGTACTTCCATCCCCACAGATGGAAGTTTGCAGAAAGTCTGATTATTACATGCACTACTCCCAATTTCAAGCACCACTTGCGATTACTGGGCTGTTCCTGAACAGCAAGTGGACTATAATGAACCCCTTGGGGAGTTGGGGGTGCTTGTTATTACACTGGAAGTTCTTCCAACTTGCTGAACAATCTTTATGTGAGTGAGGCTGATCCTCCAATGTGCAATAGAGGTAAGTTCAGAGGGCATGTCACTGTCATTTGCAGGAAAGGATTACAACAGGGTCCTTGCAAGTTTTCGCTATCTTTCATTCCTTATAATGTGCAATCTTAGATTTTTGATCTTTTTGATTTTTGTTTTCTTTTTTATTTTTGGCAATGATCTGATCATTTGCTTACACACGTGTATGCATTGTTTAGTGCAGCGTTTCCAAAATTGTGTGAGCCTCATTGCCTTGGCAGTGTCAAGGTTTGACTGCTGCAACACAACTTTAGTTGCATTGGCTGTCACAGCATAGGCTTGGTCACAAACTTTTTATCAGCTGGTGCTACTCTAAAGATATGGTGGGCAATGCTAATCTCTCAGGCAGTGTCCAGCCTACGGTGTATACTCTTTAAATGGCTGACACTTCTGGAATAAGAGAGAAAGGGCAGTTCAAACCAACATAGTATAACACATTGCAGAAATGACCTGTATCCGCATAGGAACTATGTAAGTTCCTGTAATAACAGAGGTGTATGCTGTTGAAAAGGACTTTTAACATTTACTGTGTACATTCTATGGCAGGGCTTGAAATTTCCACTCGCCTGCTCGCAAATTATAGTGGGGGCTAGTGTGTCCCCCAGGGCCGTCTTGCTGAGCAGGCTCAGAGCTCAGGCCGGATCTGTTATTGGCACTGGGAGCCGGCAAACTGCTCAATAGCTGAGCGCAGTGAAAGAAAAGCAAGGAGTGTGTGCTGTGCTCTCTGCCTCCCCCTAGAGTGCAGTACCCGGATCTGTGAGTGAACAACGAAGTACTGCAACTTTTTATGGGGGGGGATGTATGTGTGTTTGTGTACATGTACATGTGTTTGTGTGTGTCTGTGTATGTATGTACAATTGTACATGTGTCTGTGTGTATGTACATGAGTGTATCTGTACACGGCTGCGTGTATGTACATGTATGTGTGTGTGTGTGTACATGTGTCTGTGTATGTACATGTGTTTGTGTGTATGTACGTACATGTGTCTGTGTGTACATGTGTCTGTGTGTATGTACATGTGTCTGTGCATGTGTATTTCTGTGTATGTACATGTATCTGTGTGTTTGTGTGTCTGTATGTGCCTGTGTGTGTATACATGTGTCTGTATGTGTGTGTGCGTGTGTGTACATGTTTCTCTGTGCGTGTGTGTACATGTGTCTCTGTGCGTGTGTGTACATGTGTCTCTGTGCGTGTGTGTACATGTGTCTCTGTGCGTGTATGTGTGTATGTACGTGTCTGTGTGTGTGTACAGGTGTCTTTTTTTGTGTATGTTTGTTGGTGTTGAGTAACTCTAAGGCTTGGCTAGTAGCTCAGGACTTGAAATTTTAAGCCCTGTTCTATGGTCAAAAATATTATTGGGGTTTTTTTTTTTTTTTAACAAGAAGTAAATGAACTTTAAACAAGTCCTTGCTCACCTCTGCAACTGCTGGCACTATGGAGCAATTCATCTTCAAATTTCACAGCAGAATCACTGAAGTTGTTCATAGTTGCTCTCTCAGTAACTTGGCTCCCCCCCATCAAACAGTGACTTAGAAGTTCAGTGCACCCTGTCACCCTTCCCCAAGAAGTGACTCAGCAGGTCAGGTCCCCCTGCTCTCCCCTCCCAGCAGTGACTGAGCACTTCAGCTCCCCATGCTCTTCCCTCCTAGCAGCGAATCAGCAGCAATAAGTAAATGAGGTTTAAAACTAGCCCTTACTCACCCCTGCAACTGCTGACACTATGGAGCAATTCATCCTCAAATTTCACAGCATAATCACTGAAGTTGTTCAAAGTGGTTGGTTTGTTGCATTATATCTTCACCAGCAGGGCAGCATATCTGGCATGAGAATTATCTGACAGATTTACAGCCATAATGCTCAATCCACAGCAACACACCAGGGTAAGGATACTTATTTTTAAAAAAAATGACAATTGTTTTCAATCCAATGAGATTTGAAAATGATTGTCACATAAAAATACATATACTTTTGTTAAAGCTTTGTGAATTGAGCCTCGTGAGAGCTGCAGTATATGAAATTGAGATCTACAAAACAATTCTGAGACAAACAACTTAGTCCATGGTGTTAAAGTGATAATAAAGTGGTTGTAAACCCTTACAAACAGTATACCAAGTGAAGTGACTGCCTTCAGGTGATACACAGAGATGAAAAAACTCCTCCTACATACCGTATATACTCGAGTATAAGCCGAGTTTTTCAGCACATTTTTTGTGCTGAAAAACGGCCCCCTCGGCTTATACTCGAGTCAACGTCTGCAGATGTCTAGCAGGGGCAGGATGACATGCCGTCCCAGTCATCTGGACACACCCCCGGGATCAATCCTCGCCGGTGATTGGCCGCCGGAACTGTAGCTCAGGAGAGGCACATAGGCGCCCAATCACCGGCGAGGAGGTGGAGCTTGGAGAGGAGGAGCCGAGCGGCACCGCGAAGATCGAGCGAGTGAAGAGGAGGAGAGCGGCCGGAGAAGGAAGACATCTGACCGGTAAGTGTGTACCATGGGAGAGGGAGGGAGCGAGCGAGCCCAGGCTGGAGCAGGGGCACTATTCCTCCCCCCACTGACACCAACGATGGAGCACTATTCCTCCCCCCACTGACACCAACGATGGGGCACTATTCCTCCCCCCACTGACACCAACGATGGGGCACTATTCCTCCCCCCACTGACACCAACGATGGGGCACTATTCCTCCCCCCACTGACACCAACGATGGGGCACTATTCCTCCCCCCACTGACACCAACGATGGGGCACTATTCCTCCCCCCACTGACACCAACGATGGGGCACTATTCCTCCCCCTACTGACACCAACGATGGGGCACTATTCCTCCCCCCACTGACACCAACGATGGGGCACTATTCCTCCCCCCTCGGCTGATACTCGAGTCAATAGTTTTTCCCAGTTTTTTGTGGTAAAATTAGGTACCTCGGCTTATATTCGGGTCGGCTTATACTCGAGTATATACGGTAAGCTGAACCTGTTTATCTGCAGCCCTCCCTTCTCTACATCCATGCAAAGTGCTACATTTATAAAACTTGTCTGAGCTGTCAGAAAAAAAGAGGTCGGAGAGCTAAAACTACACTCTGCAGAGCTCAGTGAGGCTCTGAGAGCTGATTGGAGGGAAGAGACACACCCCACTTCACACAGCTCACAGTAACAGAGCTGAGGCTGTCAATCTGCTGGAGGTCACTCCCCTGTCACCATTTTTCTTCTAGTGTCTGGAAAACTTGTCAGAAATGATTCATGCTGAGAGTAGAGGAAGGAGGCAGCAGACAGAAATTACACTTGTGCTCTTAATTGAGAGAAATACACACCATAGAGGGATACGCTTTGTTCAGATTTCATGTCTGAGGTTTACAACCACTTTATACCCAAAACCAAAAATGTAATGTATTGCAGTTTACCATTCATTAGATGTGATGGCTTTATTAGTTTTCTTTTTAGGGCTTTTTCCCTTGTTTTCACCTGGTCCCCACTCTGGATGAAAAAGTACAGGGTCACATTTGGACAGCAGCATTGTCCGTCTAGGGGAGTGTTAAAAGTATTGGCAGATTTAGATACACTAATAAATTAAAGTCAAACTCCAGACAAGGAGTTACAGCTGTTTTTTTTTTTCCTTTTGGGATAAAGGTTTTACATAAATAAATAAAAGCTGATCATTGTAAGCACCCCTGTCTGTTGTAAATGGTTTGCTTCATCTCTGTAACTGATGCATTTGCAAGATAGCTTGCTCTTTTGAAAAACAACAGACGTATTAGCCAAATCAATCAATCAATCAATAAACTCCTTCCCTTCCACTCCCACCAAAAAGTCACACTTTCTCCCTAGAAAGTATACAATCCAACATATCCTTTTTGTGGTAAAACATATAAATCCCACATAAAACTCAAAATTAAAATCTACAAATGTAATCAATTTATACAATCAAAATAAATATTATTCACTTAAACTTAAAAATTGTGTTCAAATTAATATTAATATTTAAAAAAAAAGATAATACACTATGAATTTTCTTTTTCTTTTTTTTTGAGGTTTTCATGGAATATTTAGGATCAATTTCATTTTAACTGGATCGAAGTGAAAAATTTGGAACTTGGATTTTGGACACATTGGGATTCTATTTTATTTTATGTAATTTTATTTTTGTGATTTTGAGACACAATTGGGAGTGAATTTAATTTGAACACAATTTTTAAGTTTAAGTGAATAATATTTATTTTGATTGTATAAATTGATTACATTTGTAGATTTTAATTTTGGGTTTTTTGTGGGATTTATATGTTTTACCACAAAAAGGATATGTTGGATTGTACTAGCCAAATCACCAGGTGAAAAAAAAAGAGAAAGCCTAAAAAAGAAAACGAATGCAGCCATCATATCTAAAAACTGGTAAGCTGCAATATAATACATGTTTGTTTTTGGGTTTATTACTGCTTTAACGATAGTTGAAAACAATAACTGAGACTATCGTGCCAAGAGATTTGCTGCCTTTTTTTATCTTTAGTCCATATTTACATTGCTTCACGGCCCGGGAGATGAGAACTAAAGGGTAAAGGGCAGCCAGGGAAGCCGAACTGATAGTCATCAGCGCTATTAAATTGTCAGCTCCTTAGATCAGGCCCTGAATTGACATCACGGACAGTGTAATCATTTTGCTGTGATAAAGTGAGCCAATGACAGGAAAATAAAACTCCTGACAAGATGTATGAGGATCAGAATACAGATTCCAGGCTGCCGTGACAGTTCGACAAATATTATGCTTAGTGCTCATGCACTTATGTCAGCCAGTCATTCTTCCAGCCCTCAGCGTGTGTGAAGGGTTTGAAGAAGATGGTATAGAACATGAGAAGAATGTTCTTGTGGCATCATGGAACGATTCTGGAGACAGGTTGACAAGCAAGACATAAAGCATGTCATACGAACATCACAGGGAGTAATTAGGAAATGCTCTCGGTTCACGGCACAGGAGATTTGACACATACAATGTACAGCTTGATGTGTCATTTTCCCCTTCATCCTATCATTTCCACATTCATTGATTTTTTTTTTTCATTATTATATCATAGTTTTCCCCTTAGGCCTCATACACATGGACATTGTTCAATCATGGATTGTACACGCCTGTCTACAGCAAGCATTAATAAAGTATTCAACAAGAAGCCCTCCAAAGCTGAACTCTGGGCACAAAATCTTTCATTTAAAGCCGAATTCCAGGAATTCAGCCACCACGCAAAATGTGAGGTCACACTATGACTTAAGTCCAATGAGGTGCATGACATCTCCTAAACCTGTCTCTATTCTTTATATCTGACGGGTTTATAGTACTGCTGGAAGACAGCTATTGCTAATTCTGGAAGCCCGACATTGATCCTTCAGGTCTTAGCATCTTCAACAAAAGAGGCACTTCAGCTGCTATGCCCATTCCTTCCCTCCTCCTGCCAATCACAGAAGCCTTTGTATTAAAGTCACACAATGAGTTAAGTCCAAGGAGAAGTATGACATCGCCTAAACTTATCTCTATTCTTTATATCTGATGGGTTTATAGTACTCCTGGAAGACAGTTATAAATTGTAATTCTGGAAGCCTGACAATGATCCTTCAGGTCTTAGCATCTTCAACAAGAGAGGCACTTCAGCTGCTATGTCCATCCCTTCCCTCTTCCTGCCTATCACAGAAACATTTGTATTTAAGTCACACAATGAGTTAAGTCCAAGGAGGAGTATGACATCACCTAAACTTGACTCTATTCTTTATATCTGATGGGTTTATAGTATTCCTGGAAGACAGTTATAAACTGTAATTTTGGAAGCTCAACATTGATCCTTTAGGTCTTAGCATCTTCAACAAGAGAGGCGCTTCAGCTGTTATGCCCATTCCTTCCCTCCTCCTGCCAATCACAGAAGCCTTTGTATTAGAGTCAGAAATGAGTTAAGTCCAAGGAGGTGCATGACATTGTTTAAACTTATCTCTATTCTTTATATCTGACAGGTTTATAGTA